CCCACTTATGATCGCATATATGTATCTCGCTAACCGTTCTAGCAATTTGAACCAAACTCGGTATGGTTATTGTGCTTGCCACATAAAAGCAAAACGTTGAAAATTATTGAAATCGGACTAAAATTACGACCGCTTTTCATATAACGGTATATTTCAGAAATGCTTGAAACTGCAATATTTCGAAATTTAAGGACGCTAATTTACTTAAAATTTATACACCCCGGCTTATCGTGTAGCGGTAGCTTTCGGAAAGGTTCAAAACATATATTTAATAATTGCGCCGGGTATTTAATGTTCGGCTCCGCCCGAACTTAGACTTTCTTACTTGTTTTATATTGCCAAAGTTTAATTATTTAAGCACTTCAAGACTTTTTTTTTTGTTAATGGATTCAGACTCTGGAACTCCCTTCCATTGTCTTTAAAAAAACTCGCTGTGAAAGCAATTTCAAAAAACTCATCTTTGATTTTCTCTTTAGTTTTCTACGTTTTATACAATTTCTGTTTGTACTCTAGTCACTGCCTTTTTTTTGTTCATTTGCATATTTATATATTTATATTTCTATATTTGTTATTACATATATTTTTGTTACTCTATACTTTTATTCTAATATTTGCATATATGTACTTATTTGCTCTTTGTATTGCGCAATAAAAGATTAAATCTTAATGCGCTAATGTATTTAACGAAATAAATAAATGAAATGAAATACTGAGACCGCGTCCATATAGTCGATTCCCATTCCCTTTCTGGCGGCTAATGCAATTAAAAATCGTATTGTTGTATAACGCACAACTCGTGAATATGTCTCTTGATGATCTTGACCAGATTTTTTGGCACAACCTTTGTAACGCAATATATTCCCATAGTTATCGCGCTTGGTTTTGAATACCCATTTGTACTTAATGGCTTTTCGACCCTTGGGTAAATCAACTAGTATCCAAGTGCTATTCTCCCTGTGAGAACAAATTTCTTCTACCATGGCTTGTCGCCAGTTTTTACTATCTTTACTATTCAATACTTCTATTGCTGTACCCAGGTCAGGGACAATATTATTGCATGATATGTATAAGACGAACTCACCAAACGCTTTGGGTTTTGGCTTACGCGAAGACTTTCTTGTTTCTTGCACTGGGATCTCGTTTATCGGCTAATAAAGTGGAACACACTCTTCATATTCGCTGCCAGTACAAGTTGTTTCATTAACCAATGCCTACTACTTCTGACAAGCTGTTGCAATTTTTGTCGTTTGAATGCTGTTCAAATGAGTCGGCTCTCACTGAAACTGAATCATCTCTACCCGCAAGCTGAGTGCTGCTTACTCCCAGTATGTTGTTTCGGATAACTTTGATCCACACTTTCCACATCCCTCACTTTATTCGAATCAGTACACGTTTTGGTGATGTCTACTTCCATGTTTGTTATAGTTTTTGGTGTTCGATTCGATGCAACGGTAACCTTTTGTATTACCGTCATAACCAACAAATGTCATTTTGTTCGCGGTAGTTTCGGAATATCTACCATCACTGGGAATGAAAAAATCCTCAAATGTGAGATGTCGACTCTTTTTTCCAGATCATATTTCTTCTGGTATTTGGTTTTCTAATGATGAGCAAATCGATCTATTAACAATGTAAGCTGCCATAAACCTGGCACGTTCCACTAATATGCGATTCATCCGCGCAGCAATGCAAACCCAAGAAAAATCGCGTTTTTTCTCGAAAAAAGCACCAAAATCTTATTGGAGTATTTAATGGATTTTGTATGCATGAAAAATTGTATTGTAAGGATGCCGATTCAAATTAATAATAAATAATATAAAAAAAAACTTTTTAATATACAACGCTTTTATAAATGGACTAAAAAGTAGAAAATAATATTTCTCAGTCCCATAGAATTTGTGTTGATAACTTTTGATTTTGAAATTTTAGCAAAAGTCATTATAAACAATCTATGAAATTGAAAATGAAAAACGTGCAGCGCATGCAATACAAAGCATTCGATTTAATTGACAATAGTCAAACTACATAACGTAGACCTAAAATTTCTACAGCGAAAGTAGAACTTTGAAATCGATTTTAAGCGGTCGTTATTCATATACCCACATACATATATTACTTTTCTTATCAATTCAAGTGTATTACATGCGCCCCACGCTTTTCATTTTCAATTTCATACATTGTTTATAATGACTTTTGCTAAAATTTCAAAATCAAAAGTTATCAAAACAAATTCTATGGGACTGAGAAATATTATTTTCTACTTTTTAGTTCATTTATAAAAGCGTTGTATATTAAAAAGTTTTTTTTTTATATTATTTATTTTCTACTTTTTAGTCCTGTCTGAATAAAATTTTGCAATAGATATTAAAATAATTCAACGATATTAATAGAAAGGTGCACACACATGCATTTACATATGTATGTACATACAAACGAGCACCAATTAATTTTATTTAAAGAAATGGCGTGTCGTCTATTTCCGCTGTAGCAAACGTAGTACATAGGGCGACATCTAGATGTCATCTACCTCGCCGTATTCACTACAGATGTCGCCCTATGCACTATGCTTTTTTATAGGAACTTTTCAAAGCAAAGCTTTATGGTGTCGGACACACAACATTGAAAGTTTCTGGACACACAACATTGCAAGTTGATAAAAGCGTTGTAATAAAAATCGATTTATTCTGTTTTTTATACATATGTAAATTCAAATGTCTTCGTTCAAGCGATGTTAAGACTCTTGCTCTCATTTTCTAATTTGCAGCTGTGTCTAGCGTTGCCGTCCAGTGATCGGACTAAAAAAAAAATTGTGTGGTCGAATCTTGAAAAAATGTGGTAGATCTCAGGTTTTGGATCAAACTTTGTACAAAAAATAAAAAATAAATCTGCAAGGTTTCACCTAAATTGCAAAAATTTTAATTAGAATCTATAACAAAATTATTTTTAGTATAATAAAGTGCAAGATTGAAGTTGCTAAAAATTGCGTTGAGTTTTGGCAATTTTTTTCGTTGAAAATTTCGAACATATTTTGAAAGATTTCTGGAAACTTGCGGAATGCTGCTAGCTTTTCTTTTTATCACATCACGATGTAGCGAAGAAATGTGGCTCGTTCCATAAGCCGCTACTTGGGATTTGCCGATTTTGACAATTCACAAGTAAAAGTAAACAACGCTTTAGATGCACTGAAATTTGCTGATACTTTCACAAAAATCGCCGGTTTTTAACATTTTCGCTATTAAGTCTTTTTATAAATCATATATTTTGCAATTTAACACAATAAAACCACGTTTCCTGTCGAAAAATTTAATATTGAAAAAATTTACTATTTTACAGTTCATTTTATCCTCCCATTCTGCCTGTCGTTAGTGTTGGACAATTTTTGCTGTTAAAATTAAGAAAATTATGTCGAGCAAAAATACAACTTCTCAAAAAAGGCGATTATGTGGTAGATTTCAGACCTTGTGTGGTAGATGCTCAAAAGAGTAGCAGATCTACCACAATGTGGTAGAAGTCCGATCACTGTTGCCATCTTGCTTAGATAAAGAAAAATTGATTAATTTTTCCTAACCGTTTAAATGCCCAATTAAGTTTTTTATAATAAAGTGCAAGTTTTAAGTAGCTAGGAATTACCGTTGATTTTTGGCAATTTTTTTTCACGCAGTCTCTTCCATAAAAAAATTTTTTTCGAAAATGCTTTATATGGAAAAAATGCAAAACCCTTCAACAAAAAAATTCTCAAAAATCAACGCGATTTTTGACTAACTCCGAACTTACATTTTTTTACTAGAATTTAATGGCCTGCAAAACTGCGTACTCAAAGTTTTGCACAAAGTTTAGGAATTATATTTTTATGTTATGTTATGTTTTGTTGTTAAATGAGCCATATTTTTATACAAAATTGGCGGAAAAATATTAGAATAAAAATTGTTGCATATATTGTGAAAAATTTGCTGAGCCAATACTTTGTTCCGGCAGTGTAGCTGCTGGAATACAAATGAGATTTTAATTTATTAATAAAAATCATGTATGCTTTCGAAACGTCGCCTTTTTCCTCTACTTCTGACAGTTTGAAATTTTTCACAAACTCGCCCGGCAAAAAATTGTCAAGGCGACTTCAGGCTAGTCAGAAGCAAAAATTCTCCCTCAAAGTGGTTCTCAACAGCCCGAGAACCAACCATAGAAACACAAATTGGGCACTTTCGGGAGCAAAAGAAGAGACTTATTGATTCACTCGCAGTGTGCTGAATGGATCGAAATTTTAATTTTTAGACTGTCTCTTCTTCTTGAAAACATACAGATTTCAATTTGCGCTATGACCTACCCCACATATGTAGTTTAAGTAACTTTGGAAGCTTTAACTTTGAATTAAAAAAACAATAAGTTTCACTTGAACATATTTACATATATTTTTATCGAGTTTTTTGTTAAAAGAGCATCTTGAACTACACCTATGGTTAGTTAGTCGTTAAAATATTTTTTAAGAACCCAATAAAATATTGCTTTAAAGATAAAATGGCCTATCTCGACTTAGGCTAATTTAATTGTCGCGCAATAGAAGCCTTGAAAACTTTAATTGGAACACTAGCCTTAATCAATAAATAACTATTTAGGCCCGCATTTAAAAGTGTTAGCAGCCGTATCGAAATGTAATTGACAGTGAGCTACTTAAATTTCTCCATTGGGGGTACGATTGCCATGTGGGTGGTGGTTGGCTTAACAGCACTGCCGAAAAATTCAAGCAAAGAGCGCCTACATATGTACATATGTAAAAACAGAAAAGTGTTTTGCAATGCTCGTAAAAAGCGAATTAGCGTTTTTCTACTACATAAACAAGAAAACAAATGATTACAATTTTTTTTTTTTTCGGAGTTATGAGATAACAAATTTTTTCATTGCCCCACTGAGAGATATGAACCTGATATAAACAAGTATGCCAACAAATTTTGCTTGCCATTCCGTAAATTGTCACTTTGCATGCCGGTGCACGCTTCCGAACGAAAATGAGATTTGCGAACACGCTTTTAACGGTTTTGTTGAGCAAAAGTAATGCATACATATAACTATACGTACATATTCGTAGTGAGAAATCAAAACAGTAATTAAAATTTATTTAATTAAATATGTATATTTCCAGTTAATCTTAGCCTCCTAAGCGCTAATGCAATAGAAGGTATTTTCGACCCAAATTGTTTTGTGGTGAATAGTGAGTGTCCGAACAAGAATGTCACCTTTTGGTTGTACACAAAGTGAGTGCAGAGTAACGCAAAAAAAAACAAAAAAAATATTAAACCAAATCACTCAAATTAAACCGGCAAATCTTTTTAGTGCAACAGCTAATGAACCCTTGCTGCTTGATCCACTCAACTTGAAGCAAACGGATTTCCCCACACGTCGGCCAGTTAAAATACTAATACATGGCTATACAGGAGATCGCGACTTTGCGCCCAACACCTACATACGCCCAGTGCTGCTGCAGCACGAAGATGTCTATGTCATCTCACCCGATTATGGGCCCTTGGCGCGCGACCCTTGCTACATCCAAGCTGTGGAGAATCTGCCACTGGTTAGCCGCTGTCTGGCGCAATTGATTAATAACCTTGTGGCGCAGGGCATTGTGGAGAATGAGGACATACATGTCATTGGGTTTAGCTTGGGTGGACAAGTGGCTGGTCAAACCGCGAACTATGTGCAAAAGAAGCTGACGCGCATAACTGGTGAGTTGTTTGTGGTGGCGTAAAAAAAAAACAAAAAAATGTCTATGGCGACGATTTGTTCCCTTTAAGGACTGGATCCTGCGAAACCTTTGTTTATCACCGCCGGCAATGATCGCAAATTGAGTAAAGATGATGCAGATTTTGTCGATGTCATACACACAGATGTAATGGCACGTGGCATGATGCACCCAATGGGACATGTGGACTTTTACCCGAATTTCGGTTATGTGCAGCCCGGTTGCCAAGCAGAAGCAGGTAAGCATTGCAAGTGTGTGTATGTGTGTATGAGGAACATCTGAAAAAAATGATGTGTGTTTTCTGAGTGCTTATGTCACTCAATGAAAAGCTAAAGAGTCAAGATAGATAAATATAAAGAGAGTAAGCACTGCGAACAGTAGAGTAGACCTGCGCCCGCAGCTCATCACAACACAACAGCCAGTGGCGAAGACTTTAAATTTCAGAATACATCCCGGAGGTAGGGCGTGTTTGTGCTCTTCTCTTGTTCACATACATTCGTGTGAAAACTAATAGGCACACGACAGTTTGACCAGTTTTGCCTATTTTTCTTTTTTTCGTTTAATGTTTATTATTATTTTTTTTTATAAAAAAATGTAGCTCATTATCTAACAAAAACCATATAAATCTAAATTTCAATCTTCGTAGTAAAATTAGAAAAATTCAAAAAAATTTTATAACAGCAACACATTTTTTATTCAGAATTTTTAGAAAAGTTCTAAGTACGCAGTTTTATAGCCCATTAAACTCCAGCTGAGTAAAGTGCAAGTTTCACGTGGCTAAGATTTCGCGTTTATTTTTTATCATTTTTTTGTCGATGAAGTTATTATTTTCTTTCATAAAAAAATAATTGTCGAACATACTTTGTATGGAAGAAAAAGCGTATCATAGTCAGCAAAAAAACTTATCATAAATCAACAGGAATTCTTAGGCCTTTGAAGTTTGTTGTTTTTGTAAAATTTTGTTGCATTTTTCTATGAAGTTTGAAATTTAGACTTATGTACTATGTATGTATGTACAGACATAAGTATATTTTTTTTGTTAGATAATTGCTATAAAAAAAATAAACATTTAACAAACAAAAGAAATAGTTAAAACTGGTCAAAATGGCGTGTCCCCATTATTTTTCAAATGACTGTATATCCTAGTATAACTATTCGTAAAACTCTTCACATGCGTCTCCGTATGCATCTATATATTCGTCCTTGCATTCGAATTTGGTTGGTATTCGTTTTCGCATTCGTAGCTGTATTCGTCTTCGTATTGGCCTTCGCATTTGTTTTCGTCCTCGTATTCATATTCGCCTTCATATTCCTTTTCCATAAAAATCGATAACTTGATTAATTTTGGTTGCTTCATAAATTTCGACAAATTTCAACAACTTGATACACTCTGGTCGATCGATAAAATTTGATAAATCGATAAATATTGATAACTCAATAAGCTAATATAATCCTGGAAATTTCGATAACTCGGTATGAAAATTCCAAAACCTTCGCTTTTAAAAACCAATAGATTTCGATAATTACCAAACACTTTCGATAAATCAATAACTATCGATAACTTGATTAGTTGAAAAATAACTATAAATTTCGATGATTCGCTAAATTTCATTAACTTAAAAAATTTCGATAATCCGATAAATTTTTATACCTCGATAACTATCGATAAATTTCTACAACTAAGTTTCTGTGTCTCGACAAGTTTCGATATCTCAATAAACCTTGATCAATTTGAGTAACTCGATACATTCCGGTATATCTGATAAATTTCCATAACTATAAACTTCGATGATTTTATAATTTTCGATGACTTTATAACTTTCTATAACTTCAATACTGATGACCACGTTTTATTTCTCTCACTCCTAGCATTTTTCTATACCGAAAAATATGTCCCTGTTTTTTTGTTTTGAAATCAAAATATATTCTCAAAGCGCTCAAATATTTTTAAGTATGGAAAAAAAAACAATTTTTTGTGGAAATGGTATAGAGTTCTTGAAAATTTATATTTTTAGATCGGAAAATTCTGTTTCTTTTCATAAGACTTTCAATAGTAATACCAAATTTTTTTATTTTACCATTTTTTAATACTAACGGTTTTTATGAGTGCCTCTATTGCATTTTTTGAGTTTTTGGGGAACCTAAAAAATAGTGAATATTAAAAATGTGGTTAAATAAACAATTTGGTATTATTATTGGAAGTGTCTTGAAGAAAAACAGGGGTTTCCGATTGAAGAATATTGGTTAACAAAAATTCTATACCATTTCTTTGCAAAAGTTTTTTTTTCACTATATAAAATAAATGTAAAACTTTGAGCGCTTTGAGTGACCTCTAAATATGTTTTGATTCCAAAATAAAAAAAAAAAAACAGGTTTATATTTTTATGCTGTAGTTTGTACAAGCCTTATCAAAACGTTTGGCCACAAATCAAATCAAACCCAGGTTTCCAATTTTTTTCTCATCAGGAAGACTAAAGAATTTTTTTTTCGCAAAGCTATAAAATTTTACCTTTAACTATATACTTCAACTCGAAAGTGTTTTTTTTTTTTAATTTTATACAGAACCCAGTAGCTGTAACCATGAACGCGCGCCACGTTTCTATGCAGAATCCATCAATCCAAAGCATGAATTCTGGAGTAGTCGCTGTGCGAATTGGCTTCATTTCATACTGAATATTTGCAATCTGGACTCCAATGATGCCATGATGGGTTATTATGTGGATAAAAGGTTGGAGAATTATCATTTAATAAATATTTAATTAGTGATTAAAATAAAATTTCAGCCTTAGCGGCACATATTTCCTCAAAACCTCGAACTCAACGCCATTCGCTTTGGGCCGCGCGAAAGATAAACCGGCATAGGTGCAGACAAGTTGGCGCCATAACTACGATCTGCACATGTTGGACGATAAGGCTTGCGAACAGATACTGATGTGTCGCTTTTTGAAATATGGCGCCGAAAGTGCAGTGGGAATGGTGGAGCAGATGTCACCAAATAATTTATGAATGGGAAAAGGTGGTTGAACTAGTAGCTAAGTATGTATATGCAAAAGAGGGCAGTAGATGATGTTTTGAGCGGGGAAGAATTCATTTTTTTTCTTGTTGTTAAAAATCTAGGAAAGAACCTAAGACGTAAGCACTTGTGTAAATATTTATAACAATTATCTGTGTAAACAATAAAACTCTATAGACTTTTTATGGAAATTTTCCTTTTAATTATATTTACGTTAACCCTGAATTTGGGCTTGCGTGTTGATAGCAGCTTTTAATTATATATATGTTCAGTTGATATATTTGTAGTTCGAATTGTTGCTTCATTAAACTATGCGGGTATAATTTGCATAATAAAGTGTATAAAATTAATAGCCAGTTCAGTGTCGCAAAACATTTGTCATTCGCTAATTAAAATATGAGGTGTGAAATTTATTGCCTGTGCGTAATCGTTATATTTATTAGTGAGTAATTGTTACTTAGTAAATGAGTTTTATTTTAGAGACAAAAAATATTAAAAAAAAAAAATCTACAAGAAAAGAAATTATGAAAAAATATTTTACGATTATGAACAGTAATAGTAAATTTTAAAAATACTCGTTTCCTAAATGAAAAGCTCTGTCATCGGCCGCAAACATTGGCACTGGCTTTCCCTTCGATTGTATTTTCACGAGTGAAGAATGCCCGAATGAGCACATAAAATTCTGGCTGTACAAAAAGTGAGTAAACTATTTTAAATGAAAATTTAAATGAATTAAAAAAAAATAAAAAATTAATCATACCGCAGCGCCACCCAAGGCGAACCGCTACTCTTGGACGCACTCAATCTCAGCGCCACCGCCTTCGAGCCTCGTTGGCCTTTGAAAATTCTCATACACGGCTTTAACGGTAATCAGCATGCCTCACCCAACCAGGAGTCACGGCCAATACTACTGCACACCCAGCAAGCGCATGTCATTTCGGTGGACTACAGCAGATTGACGCGCTTTCCCTGCTACTATCCTTGGGCCACGTCCAATGCGCGCGTGGTTGCGCGCTGTCTAGCACAGCTTATTGACCAACTAATCGCCAGCGGCATTTACACGGCTTCAGATTTGCATTTAATCGGTTTTAGTTTAGGCGCACAAATCGCTGGCTTGTCAGCCAATTTTGTTAAACAGCGCTTGCAACGCATAACAGGTGTGCATCTGGTCCACATATTTTCTCGTTTTTCTCCTTCGTTTTTTCTTTCTTCCTCTATCTCTCACTTTCTCTCTCCAAATAGGTTTGGATCCCGCTGGTCCCGGTTTTGTTACACAAAATCTTAGCGAAAAGCTGGATGCCTCAGATGCAGAATTTGTCGACGTCATCCATACGGATCCGTTTTTCTATTCATCTTTGGAGCGTAGCGGTCATGTGGACTTTTATCCTAATCTAGAAAAATTCTTTCAGCCTGGCTGCAATTTGGTTAAGAATGGGCGTGAGTCTGTTTGACAATAAATTTTTTGATAGGTCTAATTTTATTTAGTACCCTTTAAGGTATTCGTAATTGCAATCATTTTCGTGCGCCTCTATACTACGCTGAATCCATTGACAGTGAGCATGGCTTTTGGTCCTATCATTGTGGCGAGTGGCTGGAGTTTGTGATGCAGCAATGTCGGCGTTATGCGGATGTGCCACACGCGCTGATGGGCTATTTTGTGTCGAAAAAGTGAGTACTTGTTGCGGTTAGTGTGGGTTCGATTAGGTCGTTGCTATTATGCCACAATGGAACACACTTTGATTCATGACTCGTGGTTCGTAGTAATGCCACTAGGGGAAAAGAAAATTTCGAAATAAATTACGAATTTTAGGTCTTCCATATAATTAAAAAAAACTTTCTGCCAAGGTATGACAACTCCCCGTTTAGGCAGTGCAGAACATTGACATAAAAGATGCGGTATTGTTTCTTGAGGAAACTTTCTTCCACTCGAAACTCGTCTTAACGACATCTATAGAAGATGTAAGATATTACGTCGAGATACTGAACGTAACTGGTGATCATGCAATGTTCTGGTTTAGAAAAGGTTATAATGTTATGTTGTGGCTATTCAGGCTATTTAGTTTTACTGGCTCTTCTACAGTTACTGTCGAAATTCCACCGCTTTTCTAAGTAGTTTCTTCAGACCACTGGAGAGGTCTTCTAAATTAGCACGTCGTTTAAATTATAAGGTACAAAATTACTTACTGGAAAATCTTCTGCTTTGGAACTAAAACGTGACTACCAATTTTCATATCTTTGAAAATCTTTGGTGGACTTTGACAGGACTTGGAATTCACACGACAGATTATGATTTGTCGATAAATTTCGATAATGTGATATATATAAAACACTAAAATCCGATAACTAAAAGAAAATTCGATAACCCAACAAAACTCGATAACTCGACTAACTTCGATAATTCTCTATAAATTTTGATAACTGTCCGTTTCGAGGCTCGATAAATTTCGATAACTCAAAAATTTATCGATACCCGCATAAATTTCGATAACTCGGTTAATTTTGATAGCTTCGTATTTTTCGAAAGCTATCGACAAATTTCGATAACTCGCTAAACTTTGGTAACACGATAAAAGCCGGTAAGCAGTGATAACTCGATAAACTTATATAACGATAACTTATAACACGATAAACTTATATAACGAAATAAATTTCGTTAGCTCTAAAAATAATGATAATTCAATAAATATCGGGAAGTTGATAAATTTCAGTAACTTGCCAAATTTTCAGAATCCCATAAATTTTTGTAGCTCGATAATAATCCGTAAATTTCGACATCTAATTTTTTGTGCCTATAAATTTCGACAACTCTATAAATATTGATCAATTTGAATAATTCGGTACGTTGCGATAACTCAGTAAGCATGTATAACTCGATAAATTCCTGTAATTATACACTTCGATGATTCGATAAATATCGGTAACTTTCCATAACTAAATTTTTTATGACTGAACTTAATTTGATTACCATCAAAAAATTTTAAGAAATTTTCTTATCCTTTCAGTTAGCTTAATTCTTATGTATTTCTCATTGTTTTTTGTCTTAATTGTCATCATTTATTTCTTCAACATCACATTAATTTTTATAACAAAGTTTAATTTCAAATATGAAGTAAAACAAAATTCGAAAAAAACTCAAACTGATTGAGTTGTAACAACAACTACATACATATGTATACACAAATACGGAAACTTTTAAAGGACGATTTTGGCCTCAATGTGCAACCAATTTTGAAAGAAAAAAAACTCCTCATCTGCCGAAAAATACCTTTCTAATAGTGTTCTCTTCCTCCGTTACCGCTGTGCCTGTCGGTGGTAGTATACACGTCTTCCACCGACGTTTGGGCCGATAGCAAAGCCTGCTTCTTCGACCTGCATTGAAAGTTATGTCAGGGACTCTATCCTAATCGGTTTATACATACCTACCGCCAGGTGGAAAATAAAACGCTATTAATTTGATAATCAAGCCTCCTCACTACTAAACACATAAAATTGCTAAACGGAAGCTTTCAGTCGGCTGAAATTTTATGCAGGTAACAGACTACTTACCGATAACCATAACTGGACAACTTTTGAAAAAATAATAATATCGATCATTTCTCAAGGACCGGGGCTAGATATCTAAAAATGACCGATAACAAAAAAATGTATCGATAACTTTTTGAAAACTATAATTTTTGACATTTTGCCAATGAACATAATCTTAACGTTAACTCGTCGATAATTTACCGGTATACGTATTTTCACATATGTTTTTATCGATAACTTTTCAATAGTTATGATATTATCGATAACTTGTATCGGTAACTTTCATTTTACCTCCATAATTTGAGGGATGCCAAAAACTGAATCGATAAGTTTTTGATAACTATAATTTTTGATAACTTATTGATGTACATAATTTTGTAGGTAGCTAATTACCTAATAGAAAAATTTATTATCGATAACTTATCGGTACATTTTATGTTACCACTAACTTATCTATAACTATAAATCTATCAATAACTTTTATGTAGCTGCGAATTAATCGGTGCCTTTGACCTTATCAGTAGCATATCTTTCGATAACTTTAATTTCAGCGATAACCAAAACTGTTAATAAATATTTTTTAAATTTAATATATGTACATAAATATTTAAATTAGCATTAACTAGAGATCTCTTTTTTTTTAATTTGCAGCGCTTCAGGCTCCTATTTTCTTCAAACTGAGGCGCTCGCACCATTTGCCAAGGGTCCTATTGTCGGTGTGGAACTCGATACTAGTAAAAGTTCAACAAAGAAACCGAATGGATCTTAAGAATAGGCGAATAACGTGCTTGCCTCTTCTACTTCTATGATTAAAATTAAAGGAAATTCTCTATTTAAATGCCTGATTGTTGTTTAAAATAAAATATTACTAAATATACTACGTATGTATACGCATAAAAAAAATTTATTAATATAATTTTTAAGTCAAACACTCGCATAAATATTGTCATTATATTTTCAATAACATTTACACCCATCTAACAATTTCAATACAACGCTCAAGTACACACACACAAACACTCCCCAAAATCAAGTTCGTTGCTTAAGTTTTTCGTTTTTTTTCCCTATGTGTTTATTTGCACTGCAATGCCGTGCGTGCGCTAAGTGGGCGCTACAAATGCGAATGCCACTCGAGACAACCCCCTGGAACGCGTGCCGAACGTGGTGCTGCCACTACATGGCTTTAAGCTCAAATAAAAAGCGTTTGTTAACTTTTCAAAAATTTCGTACAAAACGAAAACTTACAAACAAATTGAAAAACTTGCAATCCAAAATTGAGCGTTGCAAGCGGTGGCAAACGAAAGCAAAATTTAGACAACAGCAAACAGATTGTTTTGAGTGCGCAAACGCGACGGTCGCAAAAACGCTGAACGCTGAAGGCACACAGCGGTCATACGAAAGCGAGAGTGGTTGTGTGTGAGCTGCAAAAGAAGTACATAAACGCGAAAGCGAATGTGAATGCGAAAGTAAAAATAAAAGTGAACGAAAAGTGTAAGTGAATGACGTGCATATCCGCAGTGCGGTGAAGGTGAATTTATAAATAAAAATAAAAATAAAAATAAAAATAAAAATAAAAATATAAAATCTAATAAAATAAGAAAAAGAAGCTGACTAAAGCGCAGAAGTAGTTTTGTTACAAAATTCGTGCTGCGTGTCTGTTTGGCTGCAAGCCTCTTGTTGTTGTTTTTGTAGCTTCACAAGCTGTCTACTGCCAAATAACCAACTTCAGCCGGAATCGTTAGAGACCAATGACCAAAAAATTGTATTACAGCATTGGCTGCCGACTGGCGCGCATCAAGGCAAGCAAGTGGAGCGAGTTTGGAAGCTGTAATCGTTACGCATGCGCACAAACAGAGAGAGCGGACACATGCACTTTCATATATATACAAACATACTTTCATAGAATTCCACGCTAAATGTTATGCAAATACATATGTATTTACGTAGAGTCCTAGGGCAAGCAATTGCAGCCGCGATAAGCGTACCTTGACCCAGCAACAAACAAAAGCCAAAAAAAAAAACAAAATCAAGTTTACGCGCCGGAAAATTATAACAGTGATAACGTGTCAGCAAAGACGAGTTACATAATCTACTTATTGTTATTATCTCATTCGTATGTCTATTTGTTTGTATGTATTTAGTTTAGTTGCTGAAGTTGTTATGTGCAAATAGAGAAGTTAAAAAGTGTAACACCACCAAGTAAAGTCAAGCGAGGCTGCAGTCAACTCAGTTATGTCTGTTTTAGACTTAAATAAGTAGCTTACAAATACATTTAAGTATATATATATACATATATATGTATATGCAAGTATAGTGAATGACAGTGGAACTTAGTTCACCGAATTATTTATCGATATATGTATGTATGTATGTAGTTGTTGCTGCTCTCGATTTAATTAACCTCATTCCGTCGGCCATAAAAGTCTTTGGCATGGCTGGCAAAAGGAGTCACCAAGTTAACTGGCGCGCAACGCGTTATTATGTGCAGTACGAATACATACTAGAAAACAAGAGCTCACGTTACGTTGTTGTGATGTGTGCGCGCGCGCGATATTATTGTGTCTCTTATCAGTGACCGGTGTGGCATTGCACTCGTTTTACGATGTTTAAATGCGGATTATAGCAAAAAAAAATTGTTGAACGTTTTACTTTTAAATTGTATTAATTTGACATTAATTTGAAAACACAAATAAAAAAGCACAAAAATATGTACACACGTGAACTTAAAAAAAAAATTACAGTCAATCAATAAAGTTTAGGTACAGCGATTTTTTGGCAGTACGGGCAACTGTTTTTTAATTCGTTTATTTTTCGCAAATTTTTTATAAAAATATGGTTAATTCTACGAGAAAGAGCCAAAAAATCCGAGCTCCAAACCTTGTGCAAAATTGTAACAAAATATTGCACTTTTTAAATACACTCTTGAGAAAATAAACTCAGTATGCAGTTTTTTAGTCCATGCAGACTTGAACATTATTATACTAAAATTGAATGGGCTAAAAGAGTGTAATTGAAAAGTGCAACATTTTAATGAAAATTTGCAGAATTTTCTTTAATTTTGCACAAAGTTTGGAGCTCTAATTTTTGTGGTTTATGTTGTAGAATTAAGCATATATTTAAAAAAAAATTTACGAAAAATAAAATAATTAAAAAAGAGTTGCCCGTACTGTAAAAAAAATCGCTGTACCTAATCTTTATTGATTGACTGTAAGAGAAAAAAAAAATACTTGTTAAAAAAATCAAGTTCAGCTCTTTACTTGTACATATTTATTTATATGCATATGTACATTCTAGACTCTGTCAAATAAAAATACTATGTTTTCTTCGATCCCAAATAAAAAATTTATTGTCGGTGACAAAAAAAAAATAATTGTGGCAAACTTTTAGCCCTCTTTCTTCATTTTTCAGTTAGCGCTCGCCAAAATTAAAATTTTCAATGAAATACTATTTTCCTCTACTTTTTAAACGACTACACAAAAAGGTGAAGGTTATCAATTCGTCGGAATATTTTTCTGTAAGCATAACTTTGGACCACGCTAACCGATTTCTATAATTATTTCTTTTGAAGGAAAGTTTTCACCTCGCAGGTGGTCCCGTAGTAATTTGGCTTCAATCGGATCATTAGATCATGAAGAAATTAACGATAATCTTAAATTTTTATATCAGAATTGAAGACGGTTTGTTTTTTGCTTAAAAATAATAATAAATAAAAAACTCGCTAGGACATACCGTTGATTTTTGGAAGTTTCGCTATTTTTTTTTTTTTGTTGAAGTTGTCGCTCATTTTCTTCCATATAAAAAAATTTGGCAAACATACTTCGTGTGGAAGAAAATGACTAACACGGTAAAAAAAATGCCAAAAATCAACAGTAAGTCCCAGCTATCTCAAACTTACAAATTATTACAATAAAATTAAATGGGCAAAAAGGTTTTTATTTTTATATTTAATTGCTTTAAAAAAAATGTAGCAGAAATAAGTTTTTTCAATAGCAAGTAAGAAAGTCTAAGTTCGGGCGGAGCCGAACATTTATTATCCGGCGCAAGTATTAAATATATGTTTTCCACCTTTCCGAAAGCTACCGCTACATGATAAGCATTTCTGAAATTTACCGTTATATGAAAAGCGGCCGTAATTTTAGTCCGATTTCAATAATTTTCAACGGTTCGCTTTTATGTGGCAAGCACAATAACCATACCGAGTTTGGTACAAATTGGTAGAACGGTTACCGAGATACATGTATGTGATCATAGGTGGGCGGTGCCACGCCCATTTTCCAAAATTTTATCATAAACGTATTTCTTGGTAAAGAATTGTTGCAAGCATCAATTTTGAATAAATTAGCTTCAATATTTACTGATTTATCGAAGATTTTGTATTTCTCGAAATTACCGTTATATGGGATGTGGGCGTATTTTCAGCCATTTGATATGCTGGGTCTTTGCTAAAAAGTGCTATTTTTTAATATTTTCATTGGTTTCTAAACATTTTTGGAAAGCTTGTTACTCTATTTCTTTGATCGCAGACAAAGTTTTTAATTATTATTTATTAGCATGTAAAAACAACTTTGAGGCCCACTGACCCATAACGTATATAAACATACTATTTGCATTGAATAATTCTATGTACATATAAACATAGAGTAGGGCGGGTCAATTTGAATAGGAGATTTGTTCGACTATGCGAGTTTAGCACAGAAGGATTCTACGTGTAATTCTAAGAAAATATGCTGCAGAAACTATGGGTCTAAAATCAATTTGAAGTTTGCAGAATTGCGAAAATAAGTTTCTTAGCATTTTGGTGTAGTGTCGTAAAGAAGTGCTTAAATTTTGTATAAAAACATGCCATGAACGGTTTTTGGTATGAGAAATCCATTTCTTGAAACTTCCACCAGAGAGGCAACAGAGAAAATTTTAACATTTGCTTTGAAACCCACTTTCGCAATTTGGCAAACTTCAAATTGATTTCAGACCCATGGTTTATTCGCCAAATTTGCTTAGAATTACACATAACACCCTCCTTTGCTATACGCGCATAGTAAAACAAAAAAATATTGACCCGCCCTAATATACGTATGTAGTACATAGCTCCGTTCAAGAAAATTACTTATTCTTAGTTAATGTAACCAACCAAGAGACTAAAGTAACAAAAAGTCGAAGTGACGTAAGTGACAACAACACAAACAAAATATTAGTAAAAAAGCAACAAAAACCTCTTTAATTAAAATCAATTAAAATAAGTGTAAATAAAGTAAACAAAAAACAACGTAGTACCACTCACCAGCGAATTGTAACAAACAACAACAGAAAAGCCTCAATCAATAAAAAAAAAAATGTGGTTTATTTGCCGAAAATACAACAGCAACATTTTTGCCATTTTACTGCTACACATTTTTCTGCTGCTAAGCTGTCATGCGGATTATGCAGGTTTGTATTTTACTCACATTTTTTACTTATTTTTAGTTAGATAATATATCTATATTTGAATGGAATGAATTTATTTACTAATTGATATATGTAAATAATATGGGCACACTTTTCTCTAAATCAAAACCAAAAAAACGTAGTAAGTGTTATATAACGAGTTGTTTTTTTTTTAATTTTACACTTTTTTGTTGTAAAAAATGATTTTAGGTAACTGACAATAACCACTAAACAGTTTTAACCATTTAAGTGTACCAGGAGTGCAAGTTACTCCGAAATTGGATCATTTTCCTACCTTTCTAAGAGCTTTTGAGAGGTTTTCTAACTTGGCACATCGTCTCCTACTGCTTTGGAACTAAAACGTGACTAAATTTTTTTATATCTTTGAAGGTCTTTCGCAGGATTTGGAACTGACCCGATACAGTTTGTCTATAAATTTCCATAATTTTATACATATCGATAATGCGATATTTCAAAAGCACTAAAATGCGATAACTCGAGAAAATTTGATAAATCTCTATAACAGTGCATTTTCAGCGCTCGATAAATGACTCAAAAAAAAGTATATATCTCGATATAAATCGCTAACACGATAAACTTTGGTTACCGCTATATACTTTGATAACTCGGTAACACGATAAATTCGATAAGCACTGATAACTCGATAAACTTATATAACCTAGAAATTTCGATAACTTGATATCTTTTGAAAATTCAAAAAAACTTCTATTTGATAAATCCGTAAGCTTCTGTAAATCAATAAATGCCGATAACTCGATAAGCTGAAAGAACTCGATGCTTTACGATAACTCTGGGTTTTGGTAGCTTATATTTTTCGAAAGCTATCGACAAATTTTGATAACACGATAAAATTTGATAAGCACTGATAACTCGATAAACTTACATGACCTTGAAATTTCGATAATTCGATATATTTTGAAAATCAAAAAACTTCAATTCGATATTTGGCCAATTACAGTAGATCTATAAATATTGATAACTCGATAAGTTGAAAGAACTCGATGCATTACGATAACTCTGTAATCATCGTTAACTCTATAAATATTAATAACACAGGTCCACAAAAAAAAATCGATGAAAGGTTCCTTTGACCAAACCTAGTTTGTTATATGTTTTTGGGGTCGCTGAACTCGAATCTGAAGTCCGCTTTGCTCCATCACCTCTGGATTTTTTTCTAACTTCAAAAAACATCTCGGATTTTACGTGATTTTTTTTGTGAGCCTGTGTTATCAATATCAATCGACAACCCAATAAACACTGGCCAATTTGAATTTTGAATAATTGAAAACGTTGTCATAACCCAATAAGGATGGATCGATAAATTTCGATAGCTATAATCTTCGCTGATTCGATGAATTTCGGTAAATTGATAACTTTCGGTAACCAAATTTTTTCTGACTGGATTTATTTCGTTTGCTATAGAAATATTTCAATAACTTTTCTTGCCCTTTCAATTATCATTATCGGACCGTTGCCAATTTTAGTGTTAAACATAGCGGGGACAATCGGGTACATTAAAGATTTCATTAATAAAACTCATCAGGGCAGTTGGCGTAGTATTGACACCTGACTGAAGCAAGTGTTCACGTGTTGATTTTTGAAATATTCATAATATTCTTCAAGTACATTTTTTGTTTGTTATATTGCTATAAAATTATTATCCAAGCTTAAGCAAAACCATATTAATAAAAAAAATTGGAAGATTTAACAAAGTTTCGTCAAAATTTCGAGCTTTATAATCTGAATTTTTAGATTACTTCCGGATACGCAGTTTTATAGCCCGTATAATTTTCGTCTACTGAAACATGCACACCGGTTAAAAAATCCCGTCGATTTATGAGAATTTTTTTTGGTGACTGCTTTTGCGGTTGGACAATGCTTTATAAAAAAACAAACAAATAAAAATTTAACTTGAAAAACATTGAGAATATTAAAACAAATCAACTCGTAAACATTGTTTGAGTCACTGTATATCCTGAAAAGGTGTCCTAGGATGCTAACAGGCATTTTTCGTATTGTCAGTGACAATTCGACAAATTGGTGTTGGTTTTGTTTCATAAAAACGATTGTCACCACCACTTCAATTCCTTCAAAAATTCCATTATTATTATAAAATAAATAAATAAATTTAAAATTGTCGTTGACAAAATTTTCGCCAGTCATAAGAAATTTTTATGTAATTCATATGTAATAATTGCATTTGCATTATTTTAGTTTTAAGAAATATTCAAATTATCGAAAACTGATGAAATGTGCGCAATTACCATATAAACAAATTTACAAAATTCTCCTGTGAAAACATTCCGACGGAGCTATTTAGTTTTGTCGCTATTGTCGTGACAATTTTGTCAAAGTGACAATTGTCAGCACAATTGTCGACAATATTCCAGTCGCTTTCTAAAAAAAATTCACAGTTACCTACAAGCGTGTGTGAAACAGAAAAAATGTCGCCAACAATTCTGGGTGTGAAATTTTATAGAAAAATCGACAATTGTCGCACCTGTCACTTTTATGAAATAGGCCCCTGATAGGACTGATTAGGGGGCATCATCGACGATCCATTGTGTACATCTTGTTTGGTAGATGAGGATAGTAAAGAAAATGTTCTCTGTCGCTGCTCAGCCGTCTCCAAAATTAGGTGGTACAATTTTGGCTCGGATGTATTAAGAATGGACGAGCAATGAATTCCTACCCCACCTACATATATATATCCTTATCCTCTAAATCCTCTCTGGGCCTTAAGTACGTATAATGGGCAATAGCTGCTCAGGTGCATTCCATTTCTATCCAATATTTTGTAGTGCTCCTCAATTCATTTAATTAACAGATTTTAAGAAATTTTACCCTCTTAATTTTATTCAAATTTTTATGCTGCTGGTAACTCTGATTGCGCCTGCTGCGCTCATTAAACAATCTCAGTTAACGACAAATTTATTGCCTTTGTTGTTGCATCAGTTAAAGTGCCAAAACTTTTACTTTCATTGCTATGTAATACAGCCTCTTCTTTCCTTTCAATGGCATTTTTTCTTTACCTTGCCTTTACTTTTCTTTCTTGCCATTATGTTTCGGAGATACGTAGTTATCGGTTTTCTTTTGTAGGTGTGTTTAACATTTCAATTAACCCTTTAATGTCAAATGTTGCTTATAGGCAACATTATATATTTCTACGCGTAGTTTCTATAGTTGTTGTTATTTTTGCTAACGGTTTCTTTTTTACAGTAGCTAATGTGTGTGGGCATTTTCTTGAGAATTTATATTTAGAAAAGCTTAACAGGTGTTCATTTGAGAGCTAGTTGAAGTGGTGTGCTGACGTGTGCAAAAAAAAGTGAAAATAATCGTTCTATAAAAATTCAAATAAAAACGTAATACGTAACATTTTTTTTATAAAAAGTGAATTTTATTATAAATAACAGGTAAGAAAATCAAATAAAGTTTACAAAACTAAAATAAAGTTTTTTGTTTTATGTCAGGAATTTCGCGAACACAATGTTGCTTATAGGCAACATTTGGTCATAGTAGCAATAATATTTTGTATTTTATTCTTTTAGAAATGCGTCCAAAAGGTCTTACAGATCTAGAAATAAAACAGATAATAAATTTCGATTGGAATAATTCTGATGATGAAGAAGATGAGGAAGAAGAAGAAGAGTTATATGATTCGAATCTGGAGAAATTCATTGAAGAAACGATGGATAAAGTAATGGAAAGAGGGGAAAACGTTGAAATAAATTTGATAGACGGTATTGTTGGAGAAGATGAGCATGCTGATGAAGAAGTTGAAAATGTTGCGGACACAGAAAACATCGCCGAGGTAAGTTATGAAAAAATCAATCTGGAGAAATTGAGATAGAGGAACGCGGGCCTAACCGTTTTTGAAACTGCTTGGAAAGAAGATCAAGTTTGTCGAGAAGTCAAAGTGCCAATCAAATACTTCAATGAATTCTTCGATGATGAAATAATAAACAAGATTTGCAACGAAACAAATCTGTATTCAATGCAAACTAAAGGAGTAGAGCTAAACTGTTCGCCATTCGAAATTAGGCGATTCTTTGGTGTACTTCTTTATTTAGGCATTATACAAGTTCCAAATTTGAGAATGGCTTGCATGCCAAACTTCAGGTTAACGGCTGTTGCAGATTCTATTTCAAGAGCGCGTTTTGAGAAAATCAAAGAATCTTTCCACATAAATGATAATTCTCAACAGCCGGAGCGCATAAAAGTTGTATAAAATCAACCACCGTTCCAAGAAGTGGTATATGCGTATAGTGTACTGGTGTCTTAGCACAGCAGTAGTCAATAGCTGGTTGATGTATAGAAGGGACCTAAAAAATCAAGCTGGGAAAACGAAACATATGTCATTGTTAAACTTTCAACTGATGATATCAAACGAGCTTTTACACGCGTCTGATATGGAGCCAGTAAACCAACGCAAAAGAGGTCGCCCATTGGCAGCTCTTTCAAGCATAGACTCAGATTCATCATCACCGTCGTCTCCAGCACCATCAAATATTTCAAACGTTTCATCACAAGGTTCATCGCAATCTACAAAACGATAATATATATCTAAACCTCCAAAATCCATGCGCCTCGATCAAGTCGGTCATTGGGTTGAATGGGGAGCAAAAGGAAGGTGTAGGTTATGCCATACCGGGATTCCAAAATCCAAATGCTCAAAATGTAAGGTACATTTATGTTGTAACCCCCAAAAAAACTGTTTTGCTTCATACCATACATAAAAAGTTAATAAAAGTAATAAAAAAATAAATAAATATCAATATTCCTTTGTGTTTTGAAATATACCACTATGGCTAAATGTTGCTTATAGGCAACTTCTCATAACTGTAAAACCAGAAGTCCTAGAGCCTTGAAATTGATATCAGTTCATATTTAGGACTCTAACATCAACCTAACGTAGTAAAAATATTTTTAACCGCGCCCACTTTAATTCTGACATTAAAGGGTTAACAACAAATCTCGCGGTTAAATGACTGATTAACAACAATATTTGTTGCGCATAATATAAATTCGTCTAAATGTTGGCATAAAAACGTTTTTGCCGCTTTAAGACTACGAATGGGATGATGTTTGATAATACAATACATTATTATTCGGTAATGCAATGACGTCATAGAGTTATGTCAACAATAGCCATAAGTATTATTTCTTCCCTTTCTCTTTGGAAATTGTAAATTTTTGTTTGGATGTGTTTCTGATGAGGCCCGTGTTTGTTTTGTACTGCAAGCAAACACCCAGCCGAGAGCATTAACTCTTTAAAATGGCAATTGACTGTCGGAACGCTTATGACTAATTTGAAAAATATTTTATATTTTTTTATACTTCTCTGTATACCTGAAATTTGGATGCATTTTATCCCTTGGTATTTCAATTTATGTTTATCGATCTTCCTACAACTCCGAAACCCTACTGCCCAGATGCGACTACCGGTCATATGATAATCCCTTTCACCTGAGTCTGGGTTTAAATATAAAGCAGACAAGAACTTGAAGATCTTTGAAGGCTGCACTTGGACAAGTTCTCATAATTTCAGTTATACATACATAAATGTGCCAGATATTGTATCTTGTTGATTACCCTAAAGGCCTTCTTATATACATATGTAGTTCTAATAGCCCAGGTAATTTCTTCATAGTTTATGGGCCCATCTCAGTTATTTGGAAAAGTAACCCAAACTTTTATTGCAGAGTATCTTCGAAATTTATCCAATATATTGTTGCGATACAATCAACGTTCCCCTGGCAAGCTGAACCAGTATTCGGCAGCTCCTGAAGCATCTGTCGACAACTCGTTTTGAAGTTAATAGTCCAGCTGGGTTATCCAGAACGCGGGAGGATTGCTTACACTCCCCTGCTAATCAGCGCACTGTTTATTGCAATATGCGTATGTGTGTGCCCTAGATGACCAAAAAACGCATATGGTTGCCTCCATTTTTCATAGTTCAATAAGAGCGTAGTTCGTTCGCATGTGATTTCCTTTATCCTTTACTAAGTCATTAAGTAATAACGATGGACAGATTATCCTGAAGGATTATAGATTAAATGCGGCTTTGTATTCCAGTTTTGCTCTTCTTCATGCGTCTGATATAAATATAACCCAATGTTATATTGCTTCTGACTATTGCTAATAACGATTCAATAACGACCTCTTATTCCATCTATTCTGTCTCGCAATACGGTGGAAGTCCTTAAAGATCTAAAGTGTCTAAAAGAAGTTTTACGTTCTATTCCTCTTAAAAAGAGTTGCGGTTGAAATTCTATTGGCTTTTTTCTTTTCTTAATATAATCTTGTGGCATTTTTTGTATCTTCTTTGTTTTCATAGAAGCTCCTAAAGCTCATTAGCTTTTATTACATATGTATGTACTTATAGATACAACTTTTCACTTTGTATTTATCTATTCCACCAACGCGTTCTGTTTAAACAAGCAAAACAAAATAAAAAGTTATAGATATTGTCGCACTGCCTAAATACTATGTATTTTTTTTTTTGTTTTATTTACATAAATATGCAGTTACTTACTCTGTACTTTGCCCTTTCTTTGGCTGCATTGCCTTGAAATTGGTTCCACTTCCTTTTGTTTGCTGACCGCAAAGTGCTTTAATGCGCATGCCCGCCAAAATCGAAAGTAATTTAAAGAAAACCGAACTCAACTTTCTTTTTAGCACCTGTTCGAAATTGCATGCAGACAAAATATGTCAACGTGCGTTGGTACATACATATGTACATATATATGTGCATATAGTATCACTGATTTATGGCGGTACCTGTATATGAAATCATTGTGTATGCAAGATTTTTATGCATCACTGTAAAAGTTTAAAACTGCATTACCGTTTCATTATTTTGTAGTGATATATACACATATGGTATTTATGTATGGTTTTCACGTACAAATTTATGCTTAATGTGTGTTCACTACATTTCTGTCAGCATTTCGTTTTTGATGGTTGTGCAACTAATTGAAAGTAAGTGCAATAATTATACATACATATATACAAATACGTGCATACATATGTACATGCACATACTATATATGTGTAATGCATACTTACATTGCATACTTTTCTACATATGCGCTTCGGAATACATAAGCCAAACTCATTAATTGGCGATATATAAAACAAATGGCTCATTTGAAAATGCAATAAACCTCGAGTTTTGTAGCTTTAGCTCGACTAGAAGCGCTCGAATTTGGACTTAAAATGTCTTGAATTACTTCCTTAAACCAATTTGTGTGGAACTAGTGCTTTAGTAATTCTATTTATTGAAGTAATAAAAGTCACGGACTTAATATTAAGGCACAACATTAACGATGTTATTTTTTATATTTTTATACAGCTATTTTTATTGGCTCGTATAATGAACTTGTTCAAAAAAGGATGAAAAAGATATACATATGTATATGTATAATGATAAGAATTAAGTATTTAAATTTTTACAAAAAAAAAATTCTCGCTCACTTCACAGTGACTTTTTGAATATAATTTTTGTTTTCATTAAGAAGGGTCTAATTTATCAGCATTGTCTTCTTTTAGTTGGATAAGTTTAGTTCTAGCTAAACCACATGTCGTTAAAAAACTCAACTTTTCAAACAGGTGGCAACATTCTTCAAAAACCTAAAAAATATAAATATTCCAAATGTTTGCGATCCGTGGGCAAAATTGTATCTAAATCCGTTTCTGAGTGAAGATAGGAGTAGCAGGGTGTCGACTTAAACAAAAAAATAAAAATCCAGGCAGAACAATCAAACCGTATTGCACATCAACAGGCCAAGATCTGTATTCTCATTTTTGAAATTCGAAAGAACAATGCAGATCTTATGACCTTCTCAAAAAATAACCTCGCGAATTAAATATATGTGTACATACAAGAGATACCGTTTTTAAATCGATTAAATGGAAGATCGATTAATCGAGCCCTTCCGATTCGAATTTTGTAGATTTTTCATTTCCGATTCGATCCGTGAATCGATTCAAAAAGTTCGAGAATCAACATTCGATTTTTCCTCAATCGATGCATATTGAACTACGATTTGCCCCAGAAAATCTATACAAATTTAAAGAAATTTGAATTTGGGGCTGGTACAAAATAAAATAACATGAGAGATCAAAGACCAAAGAATTCAATGACCTTGTATTGTAATTATAATTCCAAACTGTATGCAAATTTTCATACAAAATTTTCTCATCTTAATTACTCTTTTTCGTCGTCGTTCAATAACTAACTTGGTTTCATTTGCTAAGTCCAAAAAGAAACAACATTACAATAAAAAACGAACACTCAATGCAAGTAAAATTAATAATCAAGTAGGCGATAAATAAAATAAACCGAAAAACAAAAATATTTCAACTATCCAAATTAACAATGAGTAAACGACACTTAGCAATTGTGTAACTATGATAGTTGTGATTGGAATTTATCACTACAAAAACAAAGCCAACAGCAAAAACCGATTTTTAACAAAGCAAAATCAGAAAATTTCTGTACCTAAATATATATAAAAAGTAATAAAACAGAAACCATAGAAATTTACGCAAGTCTATAAAAGGGCACAAATTGGCAATGACAGACAGGCAGGCACACAAACTGACTGAATGACTAAGCAAAGCTCGGAAAAAAGTGTAAACGTAACACTTAGTTATCCGGTAGGTTTGTTAAAGAAACATGTGTTAATAGGCAAAGTGTGAATAACCAAAGTAGAACTGCGAGTAATTTGTTTTTGATTTTTTTCAGGGTTTTAAATGCTCAATTGATAGTTTTTCGGTTGGCTTTTCAAACATTTAACTTTGCAAATTGATATACTAGTACATCTAAACTTATAGATGCAGCTTTGCATTTACATTTGTTTTCCATTTTGTCTATGTTTTTTTTTTACCATTTAGATTTTTTACTAGTCGACAACTGTTGAAGGAGGATTATAGATACGCAATAAAGCCATATTGGAAATAAAGCCATATTTTTTTTGGTAATAAGGCCATAAATTCGATATGGCTTTATTTCCAATTACAATTGGTAATTAAGCCATATGGCTTTATTTCGCTTTCAAATTTTGATATTTCTTTTATTTAAACAATGGAAAAAGTTTGCAACAAAACTACTAAACCGCCCTGAACTACAACGTCACCTTAAACATGCAATTACTCTCCTTCGCGACCAGCCGCGCCGCGCTCCACCGTTTACGCACGGCGCGGTGCGGGGAGCCAGCAAATGTGCACCCGCCAGGTTATGCACTCGCAAAATTAAAACTTACCTGAGTACATATATTTATTTTCCAATGAATCCGGAAATATTAAATAATTATTTATTTCATTTTATTGGTAATAATGTGTATCAATTTAAATAATTCAGTATCAATTTCAAGAGGGTGTCCAAGGCGAATTTAATAATGAATTACAACAAACACATCATTTGGACGTAATGTTCTCTACGGCGAAAAATTCAAATTCGCCGGTAACACCGCCTTATTAATTCGCCTTGAGAGTGTCATTTCAGAATATGGCTTTATTTCTCATTTGCAAAATTTTTTGTATGGCTTTATTTCTCTTTCTGATTGGAAATAAAGCCATATGGCTTTATTGCCTAAAAATGTGGCTTTATTGCGTATGGCCTTATTGCACCCCACCGTTGAAGGACGCGAATATAAATAGCCATAATTTGCAAACGCTTCTTCAATACATATTTAAGTACTTACCTTAAATTGTTTACGATTTTTTTTTGCATGTTTATCAATTCAAATACATATCGTCGTTTAAAGTACAAAAAAATGCAAAACCACGTATGTGAGGTTGCATAAATTATTTTTACATTTCAAAATGGTTCTCTTTTTCATAAAGCAATCGCATTTCTGGCTATTCTATATTTCAGGACGAATGGATAAGGATTGAGCCAAGAGCTTGTGTGAGCAAATCCAATTTTCGGCAGCAAATGTCAGTTACGCGGTTTTGCAGAATGACAACGCGGTTTTGTACTTTAAACGACGATATGTACATACGTAGTTACTTATTTAACTACATTTTCAGTTATTAGATTGACCGTAAATTATAGCAGACATAATCGGAAGATTGACCTTAAATTATAGCAGACATAATCGGAAGATTGTTTTCTTTAAACAAGTTTCTATTTAAATATACTTTCTTTCTGCACTTTACAAATACTCTTTCGAATTGAGGAGAAATAAAAGGAAGATCGAAATTTTATACTATCATTTTGAAGTTATGTCTGACGGAGTTCGAATATGTAAAGAAATAAGAAGTGTAAAAAGAAGAGTAAATACATAAATAAAGAAGTAAAGAAAATATTTGGTTTTTATTATTGATATTTTATGCCCAAAAGTAGTTAGTTACAAGTTAGTTGACATCAAATGCAGAGGTTACCACCTTTGACTACATCTAATACAGAGGGTCATCGCGGCCATCGCCATAGAAATATAGTTACCTTTCCTCAAAGGAAATATACAGATAATAGTAACCTTTAGTTCCCTCCTAATCAACTTCAAACTAACTTATAGTTAGATACATTTCCCGCAGGGGTGAGAACGGCTGAACCAATTTGGAATTTTTTTTTGTTGATACATCTATAGGTAGTTCTGTTTGTATGATACTTTTCCAGTAGATGGACCCGGGACCTATCTATTAGAATCCGATTTGCTTGAAATTCGGCACGTAGATAGCTTATGGCCTGGATTCCGGTATGTGGACCAGGGCCGGTTTTTTTGTGACATTATGTGATTGTTATGACACCCTTTGAATCACCCATATCTATATTCGGTTGCATGTGTTGAAATGCATAAAGTTTCAAATGCATAAAGTTTCAAGTGTATGCTAGGTACATAAATATTTCCTTGTCACCAGTGTCATCACAGCAATGAAGAGAACATATTTTATTAGATTTACGCGCGAATGCGTAACACGCACTGAACAGCGCCAAATACGGCGCTATACATATGTACATATAATACTTATTTGTCTCTTATACATAGTTAACACATTTTCCAATTAAAATTTTGCTTTTTGTCATCATCGTAGTTTCTAGTAGCTGCACATGTTTATATATTCATACATATGTATGTACATGGATACCTACGGTGACCATATTTGTGGCAGCCGAATACGGGACAAAAAATAATTTTGCTTTTTTTCACCGAAGCTAGAGAATTTCAAAACCTTTTTCAATGTTCCTAGATTTATTAGCCCTGAAGCAGCATTTTTATTTGGCATATAATTTTCGATTCGATCTTTTGTGAAAGCAGCACATAAATATCCCACAATTGTCGAATATTTTTCCATAACTTTGTACTTTGTGCTCGGGATAATTTATCCGCAAAATTTGTTACAAACATTCCTACGCAGGAAAACATGAAAAACATCTCCGACTACTTTCGAAGCACGAGTGGTATTCAACGGATTTCTTTCAGACTCGGATTTCGGCCAAGCACAATGCAGTGAGTAGCATCCGGAACGAGCTGAATTGCAAAGCGAACCTTCGAAGGGTTCCACTTCCCTTCCATGTTTGAGAACTTCTTTACTTTGACAACATTCCCATTGGAGCCTTATTTGGAGTTTCTCATGCTGAAAATACAAACCCTCATACAATCAGCAAAATGTTTTTTTTTTGCGTAGTTTCGCCTAATGAATATATTCTGCCTTCACAAAATTTGAAAATTGCCTCCACAACACGGCACATTGGACAAATACTTTAACCCGAGAAGAAACAGCAAACTATGTGCATTTCCTTGTTGATTTTGGAATCCATAAACGTAAACAAAATTTGAAATTTTAGAGAAAAATGTAAACTTAAATGATAATTTAAAGGCGAAATTCTCGTCAAAAGGAAAATCAGCTGCTTCTACCTGTTAAATGTGCTTTTCGCAACACAGAATATTCAACGTCAAATGCATTGAAAAAAAAACCTTTGAAAAACTAAATACTAGTGAAATATCTTGCAAAATTTTAACAACAATCATTAACGTCTAATTTCGATTCCTACTCACAAATACCCAGTTTTTGTACGCAAAACTATAACTTCAGAACCCATCTACATATGTGCTCCTCGAATCGAATGACAAGCATCCAGATTTAAAAAATAAAAACTGTTTCATAGGCATGTCATTTTTATGAGCTATTAAGGCGCCAAAATACCGAATGCGGGACAAATGCGGAACATTAAAAGAAATACCGAACATTTGGCGTCCCGTGTGAAATAAATAAATTACCAGGACAATTGATGAATAATAAAATTATAGTTTAAAAAACTAAAACCTCGCTATTATCGCACCTCGCATTCGCAAATCGCTGCATCTTTTAGGCGCATCAATATTACATAGTTACATCCCGAGCTAATAAAAGGGAGGTAAAAAAAAGAGGACTGTCCCGTATAATACAGGACGGATGGTCACCGTATGCATACCATGCACATAAATAAATGTATAAAATTGCTTCAATTAATTTGTATGTGTATTTTTTTTTTCATTTGTTGTTATGTATTTTATTTATATTTCCCTTTACTTTTTGGCCAACTTTGGCCGCTGTAAATGAGTGTCAAGGTGCCTTTGCCACACATTGTTAGTGTTGTACCATAATTAATTGAGATACATATGCACATTCAAAACATAAAAAAAAAAAAAACAATTCACAAATGCATATGCAATACATATGTGTTTGTATGTACATAAGTATGCATTTATATGCATGGATACTTATACATGTCGTGCGTATTAACATGTCAACAGATTTGGTGAGCTAACAGGTACATACATATGTACAAGCTTATTTAATTGAGCTTCTAAGTCTGCACTTAAAGTCAGTCATTGTCTTTGTTGTTGCTCATGCATTTAATAACAGTTAGGAGCGCTCACTTTTTAATTGTCGTTGAACTTTTGAACATTAGTTTTTATGTTCGCATTGCTGGAGTTCAAGAATGTTTCAAGAAATTTTGTTTTCTTCTACAATGAATATTTTAACAGTTGACTTTTTGAGAGGTTCAAGGTGGCACGTACATAAATTAATTGTTTAGTTAAAAATTTAATTTTTTTTTTTTGGTATGTAACAATTAGTTTTATTTTATTAAAGGCGTAACACATGCATGCACTATTTTAAGAAGGGCGTTTGAGATGACAAACGGAAAATGTTGATATATTTATCAGCAGAGTTCAAAACAAAAAAAAAAAAAGTGATTTCGTAAACAGTGCGGCATTTTAAAATTTAGAGATATACATAAGTAGAGAAACAAACCGCCGATTTGACTGAGTGGTTAGAGGTGCGTACAAGCACTCCGTGTGACCTGGGTTCGATTCCGGGCGCAAACAACATCGAAATAAGAAAATTTTCGCCCCTTGGCAGGCAATGGAAAACCTCCGAGCGACAGAAAATTTTCATAATTAAGGTTAACATTAAGATCGAGATTGCGATTAAGGTTAAGATTAAAATAACTGTTCATTAATTAATACGACAAGGCATTTTTTGTTAACGGCAGTTCGATTTTAAAAATTGAGGTGTGAAGATAAAGGGCTTGGCCTGTAAATGTGCAATACGGGTTTATATTTTCGAAAAGAGTTACCACCTATTAAAACGTTAGTTTAAAATTATTTAATAAATTAAATGAATTATTAAAATATGGACATCAACCGCATTGAAAGGCCTTATTTCCGCATTATTTTTAGGAGGGTTGCCACATGTTTAAAAAATCGAATTCAATTAGGTATTTGAGAAATATATCACAATCTGTGTGTCAAACGAAAGAGATCTAAAAGGTTTTAGTTTGAAAGTAATTTTGAAGAGGGTTGCCCCCTGTTAGAAAATTAGAATTTAGTTAATTACACAAAAGTTTGCAAATGAAATATTAAAATGTGTGTGTGTGTCAAACGAAGAAATTTAAAGAAATCGTTAGTTGAACAAATTTAAATTTTTTTGAAGGTTTTGAAGAGGGTTGCCACCTGTATAAAAAGTTTATTTCAAATTATTTATTCAGTTAAATGAATTATTAAAAGATGGGTATCAAGCGCAATAAAAGGCCTTATTTCCAAGTTATATTTAGGAGGGTTGCCACATCTTTCAAAAATCAAATTCAACTTGAATTGTGACAATTAGGGAATGGACGTATGTATTAAAATTTGTGTGTCTAACGAAAGAGATTTAAAAGGTTTAAGTTTGAAAGTACTTTCGAAAGGGTTGCCATCTGTTTGAAAATTCGAATTTAGTTAATTAAGCAGAACTTTGTACACGAAAAAAAAAATCTTTAGTTGAAACAATTAAAATATTTTTGAAGTGTTTGAAGAGGGTTGCCACATGTTTAAAAAGAAAATGCGCAGAGATTTTTTTTTTTATGAAAAATGAGCTGGAAAGAATGTTACTCATACGCCATGTACACCTGAAAATATCTTGAAAACTCATCCATAGAATAAAAAATTAATTCGATTTTCGGAATCAGCGAGCAATTCTATATAGGAATTTGGTATGTAGTGGCGTCCGCTG